GTCCCAGAGAATCAACAAAGTCATAGTTCCTCTGTCCATCTTTCAGCATAGGTCAACCACCAGAGCAACCAAGGCTGTTTCAGTCCCATAACCAGGCCAACAACTGGATTGGAAAGTATACAGTCCACTTAATCCAGGAAAGCATGAAGCTGCCCAGCCACCACCACCTGTTCAGTCACCTTGCTCAAGAATGGAAGATTTCAGGCTGGCTGATAATTGTTGAAATCTCCTGGGTCCAGGGTAGGCCTCTTTAGAAGTGGATCCACCATGGCCTGTTTCAAGGCTGGGGCAACCACTACCTGAAGGCAGCATTATCTACCTCTGTGACCCAGCCAGCCACCATCCCCCACCCCGAGTAGATATAAGTAACCAGGAAGAATCAGGGTCATACAAACAAGTGGTAAGCTTTAAACTGCCAAGGATCCTGCCCATATCCTTAGACCAGTTTGTTGTAGTGGTTAAGTGTGTGGACTCTAATCTGGGAGAACCAGGTTTGATTCCCCACGCCTCCACTTGCAGCTGCTGGATGACCTTGGACAAGCCATAGTTCTGTCAGAGCTGTTCTGTCAAGGACAGTTCTGGAAAGAGCTCTCTCAGCCCCACCTACTTCACAGGGTGTCTGTTGTGGGGAAGGGAAAGGAGTTTGTCAGCCACTCTGAGACCCCGAGTAAAGGGCGGGGTATAAATCCAATCTCCTCCTCCTCCTCCTCTTCCTCCTCTTCTTCGACTGAATGAACTGAAAAGCTCTACAAGTTAGCACCCTGGCACCATCTGACCTTTTCACTACTAATGTAGAGTCAAAGTCAGAACAAATACAAGAGATTTTATTTGCATAGTGTTGAACAAAATAGTCACAGTGGGCCACTGAGCAGTCTACCTTTTCTTGCAGGCCAAACACATAACTAGTAAAGTTCTACAACTAGTGGAATGATAGATTCTGTATGTTATACTTGGTGCATCCAAAACTACTGTTCTGTCATCAGGGTTACTTGTCCACCAGCCTCCTAGATGGTCAGGACTTAACTTTCAGGCTACCACTTGGCAAGGTCTGGAGGACAGTAGCAGGCCTGATCTAAAGCTGTATCTGGCAGTCACAGGCTGTGGTCTTGAACCGACTGATCTGGCAGAGTTCCCTTCTGTGCCCTCAGCTTTAAAAGACTCAGGGAAAGCAGCCCCATCTGTTCAGGAGGCCATTTTTGGAACTCTCCTGGTAAGGTCTTAATTGGATTAGATAAAGGCAATTCCTCAAAATAACCTATGGAAACGTGCAACCGCACAAAGGGGAAAAGAGCTACCCACTAAAATGAAAAAAAAAGTATGAAAATTCTATTTTGAAAAACAGTACATAAAAGAAATATATAAAAGAAAACCCAATGACTACTAAGAAGAAAACATGAATTAGAAAATTACACAATGACTGAATGACGTCATTGAAAAATCAGCCTCAAATCACAAAGCTGGAAGCCTAAGGAATAACATAAATTAAAGATGCTGGCAGGATATTTCGAATACTTTCTTCAGATAAATAAATGTTATTCTTTAAATATAAAGCATGTTTCTTCCTTTCTTTCTCGCATGAAGCCACCAATAAAATAAAGAGCTGGATGTTCCAGTTTCTAATTGGACCATAATCCTGCACAGAACTGTGAGCCAAATTATACCTTATGGCATTCACAGTTCTGACCTATGGACACCAACCACCATATTAGAGATGAATTTGGGCCATTTAAAAATTCACCGAAGGCCTGAACCTGATTGAGCCTGCAGTGCAGAGGAGCCAGGAAGTCTTGTTTTCCCCAACACCTATATTTTCAAATGCTGAAACAGGTTCTACTGTGCTACAGGTACAATCAGAATTGGGCCCTCACAGCATTTTTAAATGACCTGAATTCTGCTGTAAAATGGTGTCATGGACCATTGGTCAGACTCACTGATTCCGCGGCATCTATTTTGTCCCTAAGTCTAGACTGGTTCCACAGTTGGTACAAAGGCTGCTCTCAGCTACCTTAGCATAAACCTACTGTCTCCGTTGCTCCTGCTAGGCGGAGGCAGATCCTGATGGGCTTCTGGTCCAGTTCTCGGGCTGGTACTTAGTTGTTGCAGGATCTGGTGGGACAGCTGGAAATACTGGTGGAGGAACCTCAGCTGCAGGCTCCTTCAGGGCAAAATCTGGAATAGATGTGTCAGAGTCTTCTACCATGCTGGGGTCTCCTTGAGTTCCCAGCTCTTCTTCAGGCTCCCTGGGCTCCTCCTCCAAGGCATCTGAGGCAGAGTTTAGAACCAGCTCAGTGGTGGTCATGACAACTACAATACTTTAACAGAAAGCATTAATAGGGAAACCAATATGGAAGCAATAGTTTAAATAATTTCAAAATTCAAATTATATAGAAAAATAGTTAGATTCTATAGTGCAAGCCTAAACACTGGAGAAGGAAAGAGGAGGAGGAGAAATCTGACTCTTTAGCACAGAATGTATAGCAATTGCATTGGAGTGTATTTTGACCTGGCCTCAATCTACTGATCAAGGAACGTCATGCATACATTGTCCCATGACAGCCAGAGATACCCCTCCCATGTCAACCTGCCAGTATCCACATACAGCACACAACAAAGGAAGGAGAAAAGTAAATGCACCACCCACCCACACTGTAGAGTGGACCATGGTATAAACAGTAGGAATCTTGGAACAAACAAACTCCAGGAACTGTAAGAAGGGGGATAAAGTCCTCATGATGCATCCACATTTCCATTTGCCATACAGGAAGGACGCATGAATAGGCAGTCCACCTGCATCACCCATGTCTTCACAATACACCCGGCATAGGAAACTGATGAACTGGAGGAGATGAGGGCTCGGGAATTTGCAAAAGAATTTCAATGTAACTGGGGGTCTATGGATTACTGTAGTTTGAGAACTGATGATCTAGAACATGGGTCCCCAAGCTTTCTAAGCCTGCAGCTACCTTTCAAATTCCAGCATATGGTGGTGGGCACGTCCAGAAAATGGCTGCCATGGGACGCAGAGCCAACCATAAAATAGCTGCCACAGGAGGTGGGGCCAACCACAAAATGTCACGGAGTGAAGTTATACATAACTCTATTAGTAATTTTTCAACTGTGTTTAACTTTTTCAAAGTTTTATTTAACAGGATGCCTTTAAAATGGACATATTACTTTACATATAATTTTAAAATATTATCTGAAGATATTATCTTGCATACACACAGCATTCTGTCACACAGTGAAGATCTTTTTGCTGTGCTGACAGTTGTACTGCATTGACAGCTGCTGCCAAAGCAATGCTTTAAAAATCTTCATGGCACTTAAAAAGCTCTGCTGGGCAAAAATCCCATCTGGCCCTGCCTGCTTTCTAAAAATACTTGGCGTGTGCCATGGGAACCCCAATCTAAAAAAACCCAGAGGGATCTTGCTACACTGGAATGCCACCCAAATGGTGCTTTCATTCAATAAACCATGGAAAATAATATATTCTACCTTCTTGTTATGCCATTACTATGGATTGGGTTAGGATTATAGTGTGTGGCACATGCATGTAGTTTATTATCATGAAAAGGGTGTCAGTCCACAGTGGAAGATGTCAACCATAAAGGAAAACAAAAAGTTTGTGATGGCCTTACAAATGGGAGTTGCTTATCTCATGAACAGAAGTTTGTGGTGATTGCGTAGAAATTAATAAAATGGAATGTAACAGGAGTAAATGACTAAAATATAGAGCCAGAGTGAATCTGATACAACAATAAAGAAAATGTACAAAACAATGAAATGAAGAAACACAGCCTTATGGCTTGGTTCATACTACTCTGGAAAGTGATATAATGAGTCTGTATAATCAATTTAATTATTATGAAAATGAGGCATATTTGCATAAAGTTTTTTTCCTTAATTTGTTCTTTTAGGAATAACAGAATTTATTGCTGATGTGGTATTTTTGTTAATGACTGCAGCAAAGAAATAGGAAGGGAGAGAAAGAAATTGGTCCATTAATATGGTTGTAGGGATGAAGATGAAGCAAGTACAGGGAGACACTGTGTCAAAAGTAGAAATCCTGTCGTCGTTAATTGGATACTTTCCATAACCTAATTCCTCACCTGTTAAACTTCTAGCATTTGTCTACTATTAGAAATGTTCTCCTTCTTTGATACAAAGGATGAAGTTCTTGACATGTTTGTGCCAATAGCTCCTCTGCCATATGGTTGTCTCTGAATTACAACATGATTGTAGAAAAAGCGTGCATGCACATGAAAGCTTATACCCAGAATTAAACTTTGTTGGTGTTAAAGGTGCCACTGGACTCAAACTTTGTTCTGTTGCTTCAGACCAACATGGGTACCCACCTGAATCTATGACAGTAGCATGTTAGACTTCTTTGGCCCTGACTTTGGTAGCCTAGGCTAGCCCGATCTTGTCAGATGTTAGCAACTAGGCAGGGTCAGCCATGGTCAGTACTTGGATGGGAGACCACCAAGGAATACCAGGGTCGCTATACAGGGACAGGCAATGACAAACCATCTCTGAACATCTCTCGTCTTGAAAACCATATGGGGTTGCCATAAATTGGGTGTGACTTGATGGCAAAAAAGAGAGAGACTTCTTTGTTTCATCTGGCAATCCCCCAGTGACAGTTACTGGCTCTCCTTCTAGTATTATGTATGTGTTTTTAATTGAATTTCATAATTTTACCTATATTTGTAATTGTTTACATGTTTTGCTGGTTCTAATATTTGCTGCCTTGTGGACCCTGATTAGGTGGGAAGGCAGCATAAATATGTTTTAAATAAATAAATCTAGTAGTTATAACTAGTTTATCCTAGAACGAACTGAAAGATCTTCTATAAACAAAACTATTTCAAATGGCTATGTCACACAGCCTCAGTATATTGAGAATGGTCTTTTTAGTTTCAGATTTGCAGTTTAAGTTTTATTTGAACACAGCTGATGGCAGAGTTAATAATGTATTATTCCCTTTTCCTTTCCTACAGTATGCTGTCTGGCTAGTCCTGTGGGTTACATGGAACGTATTTGTTATATGTTTCTACTTGGAGGCTGGGGACCTATCAAAGGTAATTTGGCATCTGATATATCTAAGCTAATGTAAAAGTACCTTCATTCTGAGAATGTCTTCTTGTAGCTACTTGAACTCCTGGCATCACTTAAAATGAAGAAAGCAGCAGGGGAATGATGATTATACTGTGTACTTAGTTCTGTATTTCCTAAACTGTTGGGAAATAGCATGATGTATGCATTAAATAAATGTTTAGTCGTAGGAGATTTATTTATGGTGACTGTGTTATTGAAGAGAGGCATTTCAAAGGATTTTCTGGTTTCATATAATGTGAACCTCCAGGATAAGTAATTATTATTATTGGAAAATTTACTACCCTGGTAGTTTCTTCAGATTTATACTCAGATAATTGAAAATATACAAAATGGTGTTGTGCTAGTTAAATAAGAGAGTAAATGGAAGTAAGATAGTGAAGCCACTGTGCCAAATATGTTGGTAGTCATACCTACTGTGACTGTACAGGAGTGTTTATGTCCAAATTATATACTTTCCTTTGCTTACTACCTAATTCGTTTTCTACTTTCAACTTTTATTTTTTTCCTACATCTCAGAGGGCAAAATGTAGGATACACATGCTGTGGTGACATAGGGTCTAGCAGTTAGCAACCTTTTATCAAATATTAAGTCAATTTGCAAATTTTTATATAGAAAATGAAGACATCTATAATTTTTAATCTCCTCTAAACATTTTTCTTTCTTTCTGAAATCCCCCCCCCCTTCCCGTGGCTTGAAAGTTCATGAAAATTTTACATCTCTGTTTACCATGAGCCAAAGGAATATGCCTTAGCTTGTGAGGAGTGGTAGGATACAACCCATTGGTTAGAAAGAATTCAGCAGTGTCTGGGAATTAAGTTACATTGAATAAATCCATACAACACTCAAAACACAGCAATTCCTGTATAATTGATTTGTTCTACACTATATCATCTCCGTTTAAAGAGCCTTTTTGTTTGCCCATGGTAGCAGAAAATAGAAGAATAAAGCAAAATGTGACTGGGGAATACAAGGACATAGAAGGATAGATGTATATAGTAATAGCTGTTTTAGTAGAAATATTCAAGCTCTGTATCCAGATTTGCGGCTTCTAAAAAAACCAGTAAATCCAAAATCGAAAAGGTGGCAGCCATGAATACAATTAGTTAGTAGAAATGTTATTATACAGTACTGTAATGAGGGCACTGTGGCAGGGGAACATCTAGTAAGTTTTTCTTGTAGAGTCGTTGGTTTTATCTGTCCTTTCTATCTGTGAAATGGTTTTGGGAAGGTGAGCCCTCTGTCTATGGCCTTTTCCCTTTTTTCCCCTTGGCCTGTATCTGAATTTGGGATGGTGAGACCATTGCTCAGGCCTCTCCCCCTTTAGTTTGTATGTGAATCTGGATTTTTTTTCTCTTGTTGGCAGGGAAGGAGTGTGTGTAGAAGGGGTCCTTCTCCTGTGGTATGGGGTAGATTACAAAATAAGAACATAAGAGAGGCCAATGTTGGATCAGGCCAATGGCCCATCCAGTCCAGCACTCTGTCACACAGTGGTCAAAAATACCAGGTGCCACCAGTTGGGCCAGGACACTAGAAACCCTCCCACTGTTGTACCCCCCCCAAGCACCAAGAATATAGAACATCACTTGCACCAGACCAAGAGTTCCCATCTATACATTGTGGCTAATAGCCACTGATGGACCTCTGTTCCATATGTTTATCTAATTCCCTCTTGATGCCGCCCATGCTTGTAGTTGCCACCACCTCCTGTGGCAGTGAATTCCATGTGTTAATCACTCTTTGGGTGAAGAAGTACTTCCTTTTATCTGTTCTAACCCGACTGCTTAGCAATTTCATTGAGTGCCCACAAGTAATTGATTTGTGGGGGCAATTTTCTGATCAAATATTTAGGATAAGGGGGAAAGAATGTGATTTCTGAATGTGACTTCCGACACTCTCTCCTTAAAATATATATTGACAGCTTTCACTGTGCCTTTAAAAGTTTAATCAGAATAGATCCAGATCTTGGTATGTAACCCAGAATCTTCTGATTAGAGAAACTTGTAGTAGAATATATATATTTTATAACTGCATTTTTTGTATAAGGAGCCATATTAAGTAAAAATATTATTAGAAGTCTCTGTAGAAGGATTTAGGATGCATTAAGAATGGAATGTTGCAAGGCTGCCGAGAGCAAAGTTTAATGTGATTCACAGCCCTTATCAGCTAGCTCTCCACATGCGAGCCCAGAAAGGGACCCAGTGTTCTCTAATGTTCCCAATGTTCTGAAGACAAGATAAACAAATGTAATTGCTGACACCACTGAGAGATGCACTGAATCAAATTATGCGTGTATGATGTAAACTGCTTGATACCAATTAGAGACTCTTTAATGTGTAAACTATATGTGATATCATTTGGGGTATAAGACCTTCTGCCCTTCCTGGTTGGGGCAGAATACAGTTTTGGAATGGCTAAAGTGCCAGGGTACTCAGCCCCCTGCATTCCCTGTTTTAAATGCATTAAACACTCATCTAACTCGTTGGATTCCGACTGTGTGTTTCCAATTCAGCAATGGGAGCACGCAGCCATAGATTTATGTATCAAACCTAATATGTAATCTTGACCTTCCGTGCCCTGATTTCCTGTTGATACTTCTCTGTTTTTATTAATTTTACTGTTAAAATTTACTCCATGTCCCAATATATTTCTCCCCCCCCCTTTTTTGTGGAGTGATATGTTCCTTGCCCTTCTTATCTGTTGTTGTTTCTCCTGATTGTTTAAGTCCTTGCTTTTACAAACTTTACTTTTTAAAGTTTACTCTGCATCCCAGTAAATTTCCATTTTTTGGTGGGGTGATGTGTATGTAAAATGTATTATATAAATCTTTTAAAATAAAGTTAAAAAAGAAAATAGAAGCTGGATGTTATCTCTTTTTTTTAATTTAATACCTTTCAACATAATGTTCCTGAGGATTCATGCTTTACCTCTTGTTACTATGAAATCTGCCTCCTTATAAGGACAGCCTATTACAGTTGTTGTGAGTGACATTTGTGTTGTAGTGGTGTTTTCTTTTTTCTTTTCTTTTTTTGTGGTGTTTTCCAAAGGAAATGCTTGAGGAATTAAAAACATCAATGTACAGGCACTCAGAGCCAAACTTCAAATGATGGTGGACCAATCTGTGGCCGCCTACACCAGTTCTAGAGGAAAATATAGCTGTTTAAAATTGCCACAAGGGTCCAATCCTGATTTGGCCCATGCTGTGGTGGCACCAGAAAATCTTGCCCACCCCCCATCTTTTCAAGTGCCAAAACAGCCACAGGGGAGAGTGTTTGGGCATGGAGGGGAAAACAAGTTGGCTTGTTTCCTATGCCACAGGCCATCATGGCAATTTTTAAACGGCTAAATTTTCCTGTAAAATGGCTTTAATAAAGACTGATTGACTGAAATGGCATCAGTGGCCATGGGTTAGACTTGTGTCTGCCATAACATGTATGTTGGCTCTCAGGTATTTGAGGCACACAGCTATTTAAAGATACATGTGCAGAACACTTTATACATTTATTACAGAAAACACTGATGCTAACCAGGGGTCATTTCGTAGAAAAAGAGCTAGGGGAACTCATTAGAATAACTCTAGCATATGCCACACCCCCTGACATCACCGGAAGTGTGTCATAAGGCCACACGTCCTGACATCACCGGAAATGTGTCATAAGGCTACACACCCCGCCCCCAACGGTCCTGGCCGCCGGTGCTGGCCTTGTAGCTCCACTACCGAGCCCCATGAGGGGCCCGGCGGTGGACCTGCAAGGCCGGCGGGAGTGCAAGGAAGCCCCGTGAAGGCCCTCCCTGGCCCCAGGCAGGCAGGGGTGTGGAGAGGCAGGAAGGAAGCAACTTAACCTCCCTCTTCTCCTGCCTCCTCCTGGCTGAATGAGGGCCGGAAGCGGGGTGGCCGGAAGCAGGGGGTGGGGCTTTGTCATGTGCCCCGCCCTCGTACCTCACCCGGGGGAACTCTGTTCCCCCGTGTTCCCCCCCGAAATGACCTCTGATGCTAACACCATTGTTTTCTGCAATAATTATAACATACAACGTTGCCCTAGGAGTCAAGAAACTGCCACCTTGGCTTTGCACATATGTATTGGCTGCTGAGTTTCAAAAACTAAAACTCATATCATTACTACCTTTCAAAAATAAGCACTGTGTACATTTCCTTGTGGGAGATGCTTGTGGGCATTGCAGGAGAGCTACAAGGGAGTCAGGCTCTATTGTTTTGTTTACTCTTGTGGAAGATGGCTTGATAAGAGCCTCCCAACCAAGTTTCACTAGATTTTCATAGCAAAGAACATTAGAATGTGAATTTTATCTACTAGAAGAGCTCTTATATTGTCTCAAAAATCTTGCATTCAGGCCATTGCATTACTTACATTTTCATCTGAAAATAAATATGACATTAAAAAGTATAATGGCACTTCTGAGGGTCTTCTTCTGCTAGGAAATGCATATTGCTTATTTTTTAAAAAAAGATATTGCACTGAATTAGCTCTAAATAGCGAATAAAAAGTGACCTTTAGAAAAACACAGTGCTTAGCTGTTATCTTACACTAGGGACATTTTGGGGTTGTAAACAGTGAGGGATAACCTTACATAGGATAGTTTTAGGAGTTGCTGAGTTAAAATTGCAACTTAATAATTGCCCAAGTGGGTGTACTTCTTTTGATATGCATAATATATTGCTTTCTGTCGCATAAAATAATTGGAGGGATAGGGAATGGATAAGTGTTGAGGGTAACTTTTCCTCATCCATATATGCACCTGTTTTTCTGTCCTTATTCAGGAGTATCAAGATGCCAGCATATTTCAAGCTACTGCTATATCTTCAGTGAGGGAAGTTTACTAATGGCTGTTTTCCCTCCCTGTCTCAGAGGTCATGACACTTTTACAGCTGCTCTTTATTGAAGTGAAAGAGCCCTGATAACGATAATGGGGTATTCAGAACGATGAGATTACCACCTCCTCATAAGA